ATATATATATATATATATATATATATATATATATATATATATATATATTCATTGTGTTATGTGCCATAAATTTATAAAATTAATGAAAAAATATTAATATTGTTAAGTATACCTCATGGTAATCTGGAATATCATCAATATTCTTGATTGGAAAACGAAGGTAGTAATCCTTGGCCTTGGCCAAAATAGTATCGGCGTTAAGTTGTGTAGTAATAATGGAAGACTCAACATTAAATCCATATCAGCAATACTACATATAAGAAAAAAAAAGTGAAGAAGTTAAACAATATAAATAATTAATGATTAAGAATAAGGAAAAACAAACATTAATCTATTAATTAATGATAAAAGACATATGGTTTTTTTAATTCTGAAATGTGAGACATGTCATCATTAATATGCAATTTCGACCCAAACAAACAGTGAGCCACTTGAGGCTGACCTGGAAATAACAATTAAAGTTATATATTAATTTATCTTATAAATAAAATATTAATCTAATGACATGGACATTTATAATAAAAATATATTTTTATCACCCCAAGTTTTGAGCTTTGCCATATGTGAGAGGACGATAACACCTGCAATATCATTTTGATGTAAACAAATCGTTTTACAGCAGGTATGTATAATAAAGCAATATCAAAAGTATATTGCCTTTTTTTTACTTTTGGACAAAAAAGCATATGATGATTGAGAAACACAGACACAAACATACTACTACAAAAAGCCTCAAAAAACCCGGTTAAAAGCTTTATAGAACCCGGTTTGCAACCAGGTTTCTTATGGGCGAGTCTTATTCAGAAAACGTAATAGAACCCGGTTTTTCAACCGGGTCATATATTCATAATAAAGCCCAGTTCTTATGTTTAAAACTGTGTTTTTCTTCCTCACTAGGATCACTTTTGTGGGATAATATGACTCAGTTCTTATTCCTACAACCGGATTCCATTATGAAACCCAAAATCCATTCTTCTTGTACTTTATAGCCAGAATCTACAATATGCAACCAGGTCTTATAACTATTTTATTTTCTATTTTTTAATTAATTCTGCAAACCTAGTAACAACATACTTACAACAATTAATTCACAACAAAACTATTAAAAGAAAACATTTTAAATAATTATGGATGAAATCTTTTGTAAATGTTGACATGCCAATTAACTCAACCATAATAGACATCAATAAAAACATCATTCAAAGAAAGAACACGACTATTTAACAAAAAAACCATTAATTTGGTAAGTTCCTACTACATCATAAAACTTGCATAAAAAATTAAAGAAAGAACACCCGCGATTCCATCGTAGAGGAATTGTCCCAAGCAGTTCTATCCTCTATCACCACTGAAAAACAAACATAACAGATAATTAGTTTTTTACCATAATTATAAGACAGTTGAATTTTAACAATTGCAAGCACATGAGATTTTTCTACTACATAAAATTACGTCATCATATCATGTTGGAGCAATGTCAGGGTGTTGGATGCAAAAAAAAAAAAGAATCTCAACAAAATATCATTAAACTATAAGTATGATGTTATAAATATGAAGAACTAACCATATATCATTAAAGTAAGATGTTATCATTGGATGGCATCTCATATTCCCACGAAGGTTTTTTGCCCATATACCCATGATGGCCTAGTTGGATAGGATTCTTAAAAAACTCCGAGCTCGTCTCTTTCTGAATTTTTACCTACAAATACAACTAAGTAACTTAGTTAAAACATAGCAACATAACAATAATACTCAAAAGAGACATTCAAGTCTCACAAAACTAAAATTCCTCAAATTATACCCTCTCTTTAAGTTTTTCAATGTAGCCTCATCCAGATGTAGGTAGATATTAAGTGGATCTCATTTCTTGTCCAAGAAATTCTTTTTAAGCCTCTTCTTGAAGGCTGTTGTTGACTTATTGTTGTGTCTGAGCATCCAATGTATTTATTCTGGAGGACATTTATAAATAATGAAATTATAACATCATAAAAGGTGCATATGTATGGAAAAAAACAGAGTAATGGTTTCTTTCTTTAATATCATTTGGAAGAAGATTTATGGCATTGTATGGAATTATACAATCAAATATTTGTTAATTGTGGTTTCAAATTCTTCATCTAGACAAAACTAACAGAAAATGGCTTAATACATATGTTTAATTCTGAGCAGCCAATAAATCCTATAAAATTGTATGGTACAAATGAACAATGCTTGTTGGAAGCCATCAGATGCTTATTGGAAGCCATCAGATATCTGTACTTCAAATGAAGTTGTAGCAATATACACTTTTTCTATGTACTCAGTGTGGATGGTCAATTGGTTCAGTGAACATATAAACAATAAGTTAAATAATAGCACGGTATAGAATATAGGAGTCTATTAACTGAATTTTAGGGATTTCTTAGTAAATATTTGTTCATAGTCTATTAAATGTTTACTTTTATTGCCAAAAATCAAATAAATCTACAATCTCGAACTCGTGTTCGTAGAATCTTGACCAAGAGACTATTGATTGTGCTACATGTGGATCTTCAGGTTATGTCATTGCTGGTTTAATGGTGGTAAGTAAAAGATATCATGGTGTTAAGGAAGATAAGCAATGCTTACTTACACGAGTAGATTTGCGATAGAGGAGAGGCGGCAATGCTTTCGCGACAGTGGAAACGAGGCTATATTTTTGCTCTGACGGTGGTGGTAAGAAGGAGAGATGATGGTTAGTCGGGCTTTCTCATCTTTTTGGTACCGTACGAGATAAATGAAGACTTGAAGTAGGAGCACGATAGAGGAGAAACGGCAGTTCCTTTGCTCCGGTGTTGGCGGTAAGTAAGAGAGATGATGCGATTAGGGTTTCTGATTTTTTTTGTTGTCGTCAGAGATAAATGGGGGTGTGAGATGGTGGAATGAAAAGGGCGCTTCTTTTCAATAAATTTCACGAAATTTGGGCGGGATATATATTAATGACAAAACTTCAAAAATGGTCCTTGTGGTTCGAAAATATCAAGTTTGGTCCCTAATTTACAAAAACCTCCCGGATCATCCCTGTGGTTTCAAAACTTTTAACATTTGGTCCTTTCGGCTAACTCCGTTACCATTTAGCCATTAAGTCAGGGGCGTTTTTGTCATTTCACTACACAGGGACCATTTATGAGGTATTCAATTACTTTTTTTAAAATAAATAAATAAATAATATTTAATATGCAAGGGGTCCCCCCCTCTCTCTCTCTCTTACGATTCCACACGGTAGCACCACCTTCCGCCATAAAACCACCACTGCCATCACATCCTTCCCCACCGGAAACCACAACCCAGCTACCCATCTTCCATCCCGTTTGATCACTCAAACCCACCCTCAAATACCACCACTTACTGCCTTCCATTCATGTTTTTCTACTGCTCTTCCCCTTTTCCTTCACTACCGAGAAACACCACCACCCGCAAGGGTGGTGTTGCTGTTGTTGTAACCCAAACACCTCATCGAGTGTGGCCTGTTTGAATTGAGAGCCAATCTTCTTCTCCAGGTGTGAAATTATACACTTTTAGTTTTGTGAAGGAACATTTCTTTCAAGTGTTTCATCGAGCACCTGGAGTGCATTGTTCTCCTCCTTCATTTTCTGATTTATTTAGTAAGAGTTATCACCATTGGAAGCATACAATTCCAATTTTCTGTCCAGAGACATCCAATTAAGCAAATAGATGAACATGTATAGAGATGGGAATAAGAAATTAAGGAGTTGGAATTAAAATAAGGGAGAATTGTAAGAGGCTTGGATACAGGCATGAGGAATCGTAGGTGCTCTGCTTATCCATTATCATTCCCTTCACCTGATCCCACTCCTCACATTCTTGTGCTTCTTAGTCCTCTACCAATCCTCCCAATATCCTTCCAGAAAAGGTAATTTTGCATTGTAAATCGATTGAAGCAGTGGAAGGTGGTGGTGGCGGCTGGAATCATGGTGGCAGCAGCAGATGGCGGCTGTAGTGGTGGCCGGAGGTTGCTCTGGTTGCCTTTCTTGCTTCTGCTCAGCGGGGATGATGAGAGGGAAGAGCGATGGACGATGTCAGATGGTAGATGGTCAGAGTAGGGGTGTTCCAACAGTCACTGCGGTGGCGGTCGTGAAGTGGGTTTTGCCAATGGTGGGTAGCAGCTCTGCTGCCCGGTTATTTTGGCATCCGGCGATTCACGACGAGAAGGAAGGGGAAGGCTGCAATGTTGATGGCAGTGAAGGTGGGTTAATATGGTCCTTTATTATTTTGGCGGAGAGAGAGAGAGAGAGAGAGAGAGAGAGAGAGGTGGGACCCCTTACATATTAAATATTATCCATGGTTTGTATGGATTGGGCTAAAACCCATAAGGTGCTACATGGATAATCTATGGAGGTTACAAACCCATGGATCATGGAATATGGAAAGCCATGACAATTAGGGTTTACATGGTGTAACCCTACTTGTGTGACAACTATATAAAGACCACATGTTAACCAAAATCGGCACTACTACAAGCAAGTAAGAGGGCTAGCCGATTTTGAGGTGTAAGTGATCTTCTCTCAAGTTATTCTAAGTGTTGTGGTGTTGTGTGAGACATTTGAGGCATCACACTTGAGGTGCTAGGCTCACAAGGTTTTCAAGGAATGCAAACAACAAAAGGTATGTACTTCAACTAGCTATTATATTTAAAAGTTCCCCATGTAATGCTAGTTAGGATAATAACCTTGGAAAAAACAAATTTGCATGTATCTTAGTAAAACATAGATCCAAGGTTTCTAGGGTTGCATGTGTTGGATATAGTGTCTAAGTCCATAACTTTATTTGGTATGTACTTGACCCGACCCGGCATGGT